CGGGGGATATTTAAATCCCCCGCGCATTTCCCTACTACGACTCATGAAATTTACATGCCCCTTCCGGAAAAGGGGCCAGTGTAGACGTAGCCATACAGAATGGGAAGTGACTGTCTAGGAAGGAGTACTGCAGAAAGGGATCTAGGGGTTATAGTGGACCACAAGCTGAATATGAGTCAGCAGTGTGATGCTGTTGCAAAAAAGCAAACATGATTCTGGGATACATTTACACGTGTGTTGTGAGCAATACACGAGAAGTCATTCTTCCGCTTCACTCTGCGCTGGTTAGGCCTTAGTTGGAATATTGTGTCCAGTTCTGGGCACTGCATTACAAAAAAGGTGTGGAGAAATTGGACAGGGTCCAGAGTTAAGGGCAGCCATTTTGAATTCTGTTTTCTGTGGCACAACTCCAGCTGCCTTGCGGCACACCGGTGGACCACAAATGACAATTTAAGAAACACTGCTTTAAGGTCTCTGGGCAATGTTCCCTCTAATCTTTTCTAGTCATGTGTGGAATAAATTTTATGTGCACTGAGGCACGTGTGAGTGTGCACCACCACTAGAAATACAAATCCAGCTGTGGATGCTCTGCTAATCAGCTGGGAGACATTAGAATCCCTCCTAAGTTGCCGCACACGCATTCAGCTTATCGGGAACCCTGTCTCTGATTCAGAATGTCTTTCTTTTGTTCTCCTTCTATACACCTAGCACAATGATTTCCTGATCCCTAACTGGGGGATATTGGCACTATCATTAATATCAATGTATATTTTCCCTAAAGCTCCTTAGAAAAGATTGTGAAAGGACAATGTGCTGGGTCTGCAAATACAACTATGATATATAGTATATACAATCTCAAATGAACTGTCATTCAAAAAAGATAAAAGACAAAACACCACCTCACCTGTGGGTGAGCACTTTTCACAGTCCATTCATGTTATATCTGATCTCTCAGTCCTCATTCTCAAAAGAAACCACATAACATTTCAGAAGATGAGTCTGGGTCATTAAATTCATAACCTTGCTAGACACTTAGGCTGTGTCTACACTGCAATGCTATTTCGGGATACTGGAGTATCCTGAAATAGCTATCCCGCGTCTTCACAGCAAGCCCATTATTTCTGGCTCACTGTTCTGACATTCCTGTAAACCTCATTCTATGAGGAGTAAGGGATGTTTCAGAATAGTGCTTTATTTTGAAATTTGGTGCTGTGTAGACAGCGTGATGAAATAAGCTATTTTGAAATAGCATTGAAATAAGATACACAATTTGGATAGCTCCAATTGCATATCTTATTTTGAGTTACAGTACAGTGTAGATGCACTCTTAGGCACTACCAATTATGCACTGAATAGAGACAGTGGATTATTACAATGGCTAATTACAACAATCTATAACCTACTAATATCCATTTCACTGTGAATGACTCCTTAACATATATGTTAACTGGAAGATTTACATGGCATTGCTTGAGTCTTGAACTCAAATAAGTTTTGGTTTTTCTTCATTTAAATCATTGTTCTGGGGTGGCATTGGAGATCAGGGGTTTCAGTATGTAGGTTACCTTGGGGAGAGAAGATGACCTGAGCCCTCTCTCACCATAGCAGCTTGGAGCCAGGTGAGAAGCATTTGTCTGTGGCTGATGGAGCTGCAGTGAGCACAGCCGAGGCAGGGGTGCATGTCCCCCTGCTGGGGGACAGACAGATACACAGATAAACAGACCCACAAACAGACAAACTGTCTGAAATATATGGTAGATAGCTATCCCTTTCTCCACCCTTGCCCCCTCCTGGCCCAATGGGGTTACAGCTGTCCCTATCCCCATCTCTGGCCTCTTGTTGCCTCTTATTGCCTCAATGTCAACTGTCCCTCCTACCAGACTCCTCCCTTTCTATTTTATGAGAAACAATCAAATTCCAGGTACGTCCTATTGTCCTGGCGCAACCAAACCCCTACCTTGCTTTAAGTTATGATAAGAGGAACCTGCATACCAAATTTGGTGGTCCTAACTCTGACCATTTAGGAGTCTCTCTCAGCAACAGAAATTGGTCCAGTAAAAGATATTACAGTAAAGACAAGGTGGGTGATACATCAGTCTGCATTCTAATAAATACTGTAAAAATATTTTACTGTAGAAAAACATGTTGATCCATAATGTGATTTTTTTCCTTTTGAAAGTGAAAAAGCAATACAAAATACAGTAGATATGCAAT